CTCTCGATTACCCCCAAGTTACGAAGGGACTAAAACAAACCACAAACATTGGAAATAAACGTCTGGAGCATGTTGCTGTTATAACGTATAAGTGCGTGTTGTTATATCGATTGCCTGTTTGATATATGAACGTGCTGATTATCGCCAATGGAGAGCAGTGATTTGTCGATCCCCAAATGATACACAAAATAGGTATTAGCAGTCTTGATTACTTGTCTGTCCTGCTATTCGCCTAGCCCAACCAGTTAAGTCCAGAACACCAATAACAGCCTCGACAATATGAATCATTATTCACAAACATACTGGGTTTATATACAAACCAAACAGACCACATCTTAAAAAAAATAGTAAATAACATTTGTACAGTAATTGGCCAAATGTGGCTGTTAATAGGGAGAAAGTAATCGATAAACTGATGATAACTCAAGAATGGTATAATAATAGATCAAAGGTCAAAATAAAGCTAGTGATACAACAATTATACAATAGGAAATGTGCATATTACATTGGTCCATAACTAGTCCTCAGAGTTACTATTCATAATTCACCAGGGGATATAACAGTTGCACATACACCAGGTACAAAAAGTAATTCCAATTATGAGCGGCCACTTAGTCACACATATAAACCTGATAATCTTCTTGGCCCGACTCCCAAGATGTGCACTATGCCTCTATCAGATTTTATGATCAATAACAATCAGGAGACCTTTTCTGCAATTCCCCATGCCTTTCCGCCAGCAACGGTAAATATGTTACAAATGATGAAAGTGTTATTGAATCTACCCCCCATCACAACACAATTCTAACCTTAGCCCATCCCACAAGTGTTCATGGAACTACCACTTGTGATCTATGTTCCAACCTACTTTATCATGATAATTCTCAGATTCTTATTCGTTCATTCAATACCTGCTCTCTGTCCAATAAAATTACTCATCTTAGAACCTTTTTATTCTTTGTAAATGCAATCACTGCACTTGTTACGGAAACACGGGGCAAGCCATCAATGTTTGATTAATCCTTGCATGTAGATAACTAGGTTTTCTTTCGAACCGACAGACATCCTGAACCAGGAGGTGGTACAACTATCTATGTCCGTTCGGACATTCAGACGTGTAAATCTGAGAATGAATGTCTTGACTCCACTTGGGTAACCGTGAATTGTGGATCACCAAATTATCTACTGGTGGAATGCATATGCAGACCATTTCATGTGGATACTTACCTTGGAAAATTGCCAAAAAACATATTTTATATTGCATTTTGTCATAGGTGACTTGAATTTGTCGAACATTACATGGGGTTCGACTTCGGTGACAATTCAATGTAACAAGTCGGTTGAAACATTAGAATTTTGTGGATGAGTCTAACAAGTCCGAAAACCGACTGGGAGGAAGAACATACTTGACTTATTATTTACAGTCAACATAGACTCTATCTCAGTGCACGTCAGTCATGAGTTTTTTATGAGTGATCATAGAGTTGTATTGAGGATTATTCATTCTCTCAACACTATACAACTGAGCTCTAAAGCTGCAACAATACACCAGAGTAGAAGTCTTGATCAGCAAACCTAGAAGCGCACTAAAACCCTTATCGGACGCTTCCCATGGGAATCTTGTTTCACCGCAAATAATATTTACACTGTGCTTTCCAACTTATACCACAATCTGACATATTGCCCTGACTGCAATGTTCAAATTATCCGCCATGTGGCTTATAACGCTAATAGGGGCCAGAATCCTTTCGAAACTTTTAAGAGCGAACCGAGAAAATCGGAACACCGCTACTATAAGCATCATGACCTGTGTGCACTGGAGAGTATACTTAACTTGGTCGATAGCAATGATTCACCTAAACGCAAGTACCTTATGACGATGGCGAATAAAGCGTTAGGTAGTAAAAGCCTAGAGTTATGGTTACTTTGGCTTTCCAAATCCCGCGTGAATTCGAACTCTCTTGGTGTGACCAAACTCTTCACAGTTAACGGAAGTATTGCTGACGACCCTGATACTATTAAAAACAGTCCAATCATCATTCCTCACTATGCTACTACACTGAAACTGAAACCTCCATCAATACCTTTCCAATGTTGACATTTAGACGTCCATGAAAAATCGATTTCATGTCCACCAACATCAAATAAGCCATAACTGCTCTTAAGAAGTCTTGTAACGGCGGACCTGACGGGGTTCCTGCCTCATTTCTAAAATATGGTAGTAGAGAATTTCAGTTGCTTTATAAAAGCTGTTCAATCTATCTATGGAATAAGGAGCCTATCCATCTGTGAGGAAAACACCTCTTATCACTCTTATATTCAAAATGTAATCATGTAGTGATACTACTAACTATAGGTCTATTAACTTGACATCTATGCTATCATGGAACATGAAAAAAGTCATTCACAAGTAGCTATTATCGTTTCTATCATCGGCAAGCCAGATAAGCTCCTCTCATAATGGATTTATAACTAAGCGCTCATGCTCCAAACCTCACCTCCAATATTTTAGTTAAATTATCCAGCGGAGAGATGTCGGTCAGTTAGTGATAATTCTACACTTCAATTTTGGTAAGACTTTCGACGGCGCCTCATACAAACTTCCTCTAAAACTTTTATCATTTGCCCTATGGAGTTCCATCTTATTCTGATTCAAATCCTTCTTAAAAGAAAGTAGTCAAGTCGTCCATTTCAAATCATGCTACTCTAAGCCCATAAACAGAACCAGTAGGGTTATGGAAGGAGGCATACTTAGCCCATTACCCTTTCTCCTTTTCATTTGTGATGTGTGTTCACTTTTTCAATACAGTGAACCTTTCCTTTTTGCCGATGACTTAAGAGTAGTTTGTTCACTCGTCTCCTTTCAAAGGAAACTATATTTCAGCGGCAACCCTAGAAGACATGCAGAAGTTACACGAATGGTCCGTGTCGTAGAATCTGCCACTGAATGTTTGCAAAAGTGGATTCAATAACAGCAGCAAACTAAGCTAAATCTGGTTCTACATAAACAGGTTTTAAAAGCCTTCACCATTGTTCATGATTTGTGTTTAACGTGTTGTAGGGATCTGAACTTTTCTGAGCACACAACATCTGAAGTATCCAAATGAAGAAGGGTCATTGGATTTATTATGATAGATTCCGTTAATATTGATTCTAAATTAATGTTATATGAAAACGTTCATGCCTATCCCTGGATACGGTATTTTGGTTGACAGTTGTAGAATTATGATTAAGGTGGGTATAAATGCATTTATCTTTCCTATCAGAATAAGAGACATATTACAATTGCAGACCTGCTATGATGTGAACACCTAATCTACGAGATCTTGTGTGGAAGTCACATCATTAACTACAATGGCCCATCCTATCATGACAGCTAATAGCATGATGTTTAGTACTTTCAAAAAACACATTTGTACTGGGATAGAATAATATATCTCGTGTGTAGGGAAATCAGATATATATTGACCACGCCTTCATGGCCGAGCCATGACATCCTGATAAAGTATGTGTAACTGTAGGCATACTGATCTCATGTGCATTGAAGATGTTCAAAGTAGATTCACCATATCTCTTCTGAGGTATTTTGACAAAAAAGATTACCACGAAGGATGTCAGCAACTTAAGTTAGCACGTCTTTGGACCAGGCACATTAAATCAAACCCCATTTTTGAATTTATTTTCAAGATTTTAAACTTTGATTTGGAGAACTAATTGCTGCTTAACATTATTATGAAGCCTTGCACACCATTTGGACACCACTGACGCAGCAAGCTTAAAAAAATCATAGGAATATTATACTTGTGTCACTTATTTCTCATCTAATAATCCGCAGAGACCTTTTTATCTGTGTAGGTTTATCTACAGTGTCATTCATGAAAGCACCAGCATAGATGATTTTAAAGTATGAGAATGTAGAAGTGCCAAGGGAAAAGTGTCTACGGAACAGATACGGTCAACAGCTCTATATGCAGGACATTCATTTTAACTGTATCGTATGAGACATATCGGTGATAATTTGCCATGAGGTTCGTAGTATGTTGTATAGATTCATTAAATGAGTTTTCGGGTAAGATTTCATTTCTTATATAAACATAGTACATTTATTTATGAAGCAGCTTGCTTTTGACACAGGAATTTACACACGGCAAAATGATAAGTAAATAATAGGAAATCATCCAGAAGATAATTAAGTGGAGCCGCTGTCACTGAAAAACCAGGCGGCTACTACTTCGGTTTATTAGGAAACCGAGTGTGATTAACAGGTTATCAAACACACATTAAACATACAAAATTCTGAAATTTTTACATTCTCCATACTTTTGAAAGAAAATTCAAACCTTTGTGAAAGTTCCATTAGTGTTAGTTAATGGATTTGTCACTTTGGTGATGCCTATATCACCCAATGGCTTTCCAGGCTCAAAGTCCATTTCCGATAACAAGGTTTTATAAGCAGCTTTCATAGTTTAATCGGCTTTTTTATATTTTACAGATGGTCTGACTTCACCAAATTATGGATAATGAAGCCAAGTATCTTACGCGTACATACAGTGATGAGGTATCGAATCCTTCCATCATCGTTCACAATATTTACCAGACAATCACCTTCGGTATTTTACATAACCAACAACAAACACTGTATTTTGTGAACTTTGAGGTTATGTATATACAGGGTTCAATTAGTATTACTTTCTATCCATTATTCAGTGTCTTGTGATCAAAGTGCCAATCACATTTTTCCTTTGGAAAAGTCTTGATGCTTGTTTTAAGTGTTTCAGAAATGTTACAATTGTATATCACACTCAATTTGTTATGGAAGACTGTGCCCTCAAACTTTCTGTCGAAAAGGGGTGACTAGAAAGTTACTCAGAGTACTCAGAGAACAGTGATGGTGATTCAGTCGGCATCGCCATATCGAAGTGCAGTCTTCGATGGCTTGAGCATGTGTTAAAAAATGTCCTCCCACATAATTCCACTCTATATTATATTTCTCGGAGCTGAAACTGGCCGAGAATAGCGGATGGTCAGTTTGTGACTTGATGTCGCAGTACGTGACTAGTATTCGTCGGTCCTTCACGACTAGATGGTTCGTGTCCTGGAGACTGCAACACTGGCTTGAGATGTTATTGTACACGGGTCAGAGTTGAAGTCAGTAGCAATCCTGTTGTAATCCGGTTTACTTTCCTCATAAAAGCGAGAACATCCCTAACTGAAATAATCTATTCTGGTTGTATTCCTGCTGGCTGAACTGTCTCTCCGACCGCTCACAACTCTCATTCACTTGTATTCAATAATCAATTCTTTCCCATTATACGTATCTTCCTTCCTTCCGTCCTCTGTCTCGCACTGTGTGATGCATGCACATTTATTTCGGTGCCTAATTGTACCAAAATTGACGTATCTAAACAAATAACGATAATCGTACTTTACAATCCAGATAGTGAGATGCATTGGTTAAATATGTGCAGTATCTTTCCCGAGAAATTCACTTGATAAAGGCCGACAGTCACACCAGTTATCATTACCTAATACTCTACGCTCAATATCATAATACTTACGCTGCGGTTTCATCACACAAAGAGTACTTTTTAGGACATCTGTGATTGTGTGTTACCGACAAACCTACGTGTTTTCACATTAATAGGTCATGTAGAACAGTAGTAAAGTGATATATGAAAAAATGCTATTTGACAAAGTTCATGCCTGTGCATTGTTGGGAAGAAACAGGTGATCCTTTTGTGTCACCAGCTGCAAACACGACAGGGTTGAAAAAATCAACAAGAAAAATAGGTAGTTAACAAGTTCGACCACTTTACTACCTATGCTTACAACAGGCACTGGATTGCACCAGTCTCGAAAATTCACTTTGCATCTGAAGTTAAAGAAACATCCCTGAGTTATTGTACAGACCACTCAGAAGACTGCTATTAGTATTTTCAGTAAGCAGAACAATCCTTACACTGGAAGTCAATAAATGGGTCTCTTGGCAGAGGTTGAGTCCCTGAAATTCCACGAATAAAGTTGCTAGAAATATGTCTATAACAAAAGAAACAAGCAGGGAAAGTAAAAGAGCTCTTACACCCACTAGTTAACGAAGCCAACGACGATGACAGCTTTCAATAAGCTCTAATTACAGCAGTGCTCCAAAAGAGGATCTCTAGTAGAATGATAAACATCCCAGTGTTTTATCCAGTTACTGAGTGCACCAAGACCCCTTTTGATAGACAGAGTAAGATACGTTTCCAATACTATTTCAACAAATATCTACGTACTTCTACGTTCCAGAACCTGTTGAAGGGTATATACTGTCGACAAACCTGCGCACAGCACTGACAACTGCCATGTAGCGATTGATTGTTCAGTCGAACAGAGTGGTCATTTTTTCATGAAGGATGCATTTATTTGTAAGTTCACTGTTATTTCTTCCATTGTGGAGATGAGCTGAAGAAACGCATGTGGTTTTTCAACATTTCAGTCATATATCTTTAGGAAAATTAAACATGTTAGTGATATACTGCGGCGACCTTGTAGCAAACGCATAACAACGATGGACTACATATATCATTTGACGCTATTTGGCCCAACTCAGTATAGGTCTCCTTATTCGAGTTTGAGCCACACTGTCCATAAGAACTAATGATAACATCCAGGTGACCGAACGGCAGTGGAGTGAGTTTCGAACCTATTACCTAGTGGTTCAAGATTGAATACTTTCAGTATGAATCTACCACTAAATTTCGAGCATACTCTTGTTTGATAACAGCTCAAGTGAAAATACCGGTTGTGGAAGTTAACTGCAGCAGACAGACTAATTGATTGACTTACATATTTAAGTTTATGTAGATGATCAGCAAAGTTAACTAACAAATATGCATACGAATTCCGGGCCGAAACGACTTGTTTATTTCACACTTCACTAGACGAGTAGAAAACAAACAAGTTACAAGGACAAACGATATAGACATTCGTGCTAATGACTCTTTACATCAAGTTGTACATTATTTTTACCGATTGATTAATCTTGATAAAGTTTCATTGTTGTTCAAATTATATATTTGAAAACTGTCTAGAAGAGCACACAAATTTGTACAACTGATGTAACTTCCTAATCAAGATTACAAAGAAAATGTAATTGAATTCATGAAATGAAGTGTATTATTCGAATTCGACAAGTCAATAAACTGAAATGTATGACGTCAGGATTTACTACATCTAAGAACATATTTGTTCTAAAAAGTTAGAGGTACACAAACAGTAACTTAAAACAAACGGAATCCCTCCACAGTTTATTTTACTTCCTATCGCCCTTCAAGTTTTATGTATAATTCCTAATTGTTCATTCTTCGACCTTATTTTTTCCTTGCAATCTATTTCCCATTCTTCGATTTCCATCAATTTCAACATTAGTACATATACCATGCTTTTTTTATTCTTGTTGTGATATTCATTGTAGTAATTAAGACTGATGCATGTATATACGATGTCCTGGGTTAATGACGACCGACTCACAAGTGACATGTCCTTCCAGCCACAAAGTTATTAGCCCAGATCACTTTGAAGCAAATCCTGAGTGTTTATAAGTGGTAACAATGAAGTAAACAACATATATAATTAAGTCAAGTACAACGTTAGTACAACACTAAGAAATAGAGAAGATAAGCGATTGCAAAGGCTCAACAGTTTGAAACGCGATAGGCTTCTTAATTTGTCGTGGCGAGGTGATAGCTATCTAATAAAGTGGGGAGATGAAAACATGAGCCGTAACCTTGGGGTCGCTCGTACACATGTATAACGTTATATAGTGGTACCTTCAGCTATATTGATGCTCGCTGTGTCAGTACACATAAGCCCAGCTAATCTTAAAATTATCATAACCTAAACTAAAAAATTGAGGTATAATAGACCGGACTAACTAGAAAACTATCGAATAAAGGACTCAACTGAATGTTTAAAAAACCAGTCTACAAGATTTGGTTAAGCAAATCGTTATAAAAAACACACCTTTCAAAGTTTTATTGACAAGTGACTGAAGATGAAACACTCAATAGATCTTCCACAGAACAGTCTGGTCAGAGACTATGAAAATACAAAGTTTGAACCGAAGCTGAAAATCAAATACATGGGATGAGTTGCATTAATTAGAAAAAAACAAGTGAAATCCAGTTAGAGAGTGTAATCCGTACAAATGATCCACATTAAAGTTCCAATAACTCAACTCAATCTATTCTGCTTCCCCACCTCATTAAAACGCTCTTCACTGATATCTTCTAGGTCATGTGCCTCCAAGAAATGTTTGATTCCTTGGAACTGAGACTTTACGGCACACTTTGAGGCTGCATACACCATATTCTTTTTGGTGCTTAAGTTTTTCGGGGTCCTAAACTAATATAGACACAAATAAATAACGTACCACATTATAAAAAACAAGTCTGTACATTTATTGGGGTATTCATAGTCATATACAACGTACCGACCGTCTTTCAACTCCATTGCTTCAATCATATCTTCTCTGAAATTTTGGTACGTTGCCTCTAGTGGTACCGGTGAAGAAACGTTATACCTTAATACCAACCTCTCTCAGCTTTTTTCAGAATGCTGACTTCTCCTCCATCGTTGATGTGAAACAAAACATAACGATGCTTTTTGTTCATTTTCAAATCATGGAAAGCAATAGGGCAAGATGAGTGACATTTTACTCCAGAATTCTAAAACAAAACCGAAAATCAGTACTGTGTAATTTGTTTTAAAGAAAAGAAAGCAAAGGCAATTAAGCAAATGATGGGAATGTCATTGCAAAAATATAGAACATGAAAATGTCAATGAGGTCCAGCTTTAATATAAGAACTAATATGTGACAACCAAAACCATATTACTCGGTCTTTTCCTGCCAATTTATCACCTGGTCTATCTTATAATTTTATTTATACTTACTTTCCGATCATCAAATGTAATTTCTTTCCATTTCAATGTTATCCATACTTTGTGTATCTTGTTTTTCATTGTTTGGGGCTATGTCATACCGCATTCGATGAGCTCATACAACAAATTTATACTTGAGTAAAAGTAACCTTTAGTCCATTTTGTAACGCTGTGGAGGCTCTGATAACTAGATGGTAAAAACGTTCAAGGTTCCTAGTGAGAGTATGTATTTCAATGTTCCTTTAACGTTTGATAAACTCAATTTCAGCCATAAACTATTCCATACCAAAACCACCCATCCAAGGATAAAAAACTACTTCATTAGTTTGTATAAAGACTGGCAATGCCGAAAGAGGAATAATTGTGTATCTGACTCAGAACTTTGCTGGTTCTCAGTGAGCATGTTATTGCGAAAGACTGCCAAACAATAGTGGACGATGGCGTCTTTTACGGAAATACCATCCGCTCCCGGATTTATAGATTGCCTTTAAAATTCGCATAAAAATGTTAACCATCACTGATGGTTATAATAGTATAGATGAGTATTCATCAGCCAGATATTCTGGCAATTTAATGTTTCCAGACCAAAATACCAAGATGAATTGACGTGTCCTTCTTTTGTTTTTGTGGATGTAGATTATATATGAAGGGGGTTTGTGAATGAATAATGTTTTAAACAATCTGACATATGGAATTAAATAAGAGGGAAACGGTATTAAGGCAATCGTTAGTCATATGTTTAACATAAGTTGTAAATACGTGAAGATTTCATAATTTCTCATGGACAGCGTAAATAGTCCTTTCATAACGGATCTGCTTGAGGAGAAATATGATAAGTCATAATTTAGCAACAATACGGAAACAATGTACTTTGAGTTCACAAAACATCAGAGCGGATAATCACCAATTAACTAGTTTCCAGAGTTCACCATCCGATATTTCAGCCAACACTTGCCTTATAACTGTGCGCACTGCATAAATTTCCCCGTATATCAGCACATATTCACATAAGGTAGTGTCTACGTAACAGAATAAAGTTTATAATTATCAAACCCGATGCATAATTGAGGTATTTTCCTCTGTATTCGCAAACACAAGATGGCCGGGCGTGTATGAGCAAGCAGTTCTCCCCCACATGAAATTCTATTATTCAATGGAATACATTCACTTATTCCTATTATTTTTAACCTCCGAGACTTTCGTTCTACAAACTTCCTACTTAAACTGTATCACATTCTACTTTAAGTCTATTGAGTAGTGTGCACAGTCATAAAGTTGACAATTGTGGTAAAATTAAAACTGCGAGGAATACTAGCAGAGGAATCGATTTAATTTCGGAAGTTAAGTTAAAAATCTACATTTTCGGAAACAGGGTTGTACGAAAGCCCAGGAAGATACCAGCCAAGGAACCTCATAGTAATGGATACCACAAAGACCACTCGACTTAAACACCAGGACTGGGTCTCCATTTAATTGGTCAGGATCATACTGTTAAGAGAAAACTGAAAAATTTTAATTGATTAAAAACTGTTATATTGGATATCATTAATTTCACAGTGTTCTAAGGTGTATTTGTTTTACTGAGCTTCTGGACTTAGTCGATCATATTTTCGACTTCACACATTTTGATCTCTCTTTGTCTTTGGTTTGGTGATTGAAAAGTTTTGCTCTGGGAACCTAAAAACTGAAAGTTTGTTTTGTAATTCTCATAATTAATATTGTGGCAATATTTGGGACGATTATTTCTGACTTCCGAATAAACTTTGGTGCCTGAATTGGAGTTTGGTTCTATTGTCGTCTAGGGTCGTAATTTACAAGTAGTAACATAAACTTTGACGTAACACATAATCCTATTCGGGTTCCTGTTCTCAGTAGGAATAGTAAGCTAAATCGAGTTACGAGAAAATGGTTGTCCCAAACTGTCCGTAAAGCAGCCTCCATGGGGAGTAAATGGCGCAAAAATGATAATTGCGTTGCATGCTTATCGCCCGTCAAATCGTGTAACTCAGAATTCGAACATAGTTTCTGTAGGGATTTGGTTCGCCGTCGCTGTGATACTGCAGTATCTCGGCTTTTAGTTGATGATGTCAATGTTCGCTCACCTGTAAGAAGTAGTGGACATGGTACAGTTATGTATAACCTGGCCACCAAAGAGATACAGCTGAGGAGCGAGGACACTTTTTGCTCTAGCTATATCAAAACAGACCACGCTACTACGAGAAAGCATCTTCAACATGTCCCGTGATGACGATAGAATTGGATACTAACAGCTGATGACCACTAGAAGAGGAATATCATTCAGAATACCATTTTGAAGGGCACGTTTGTAAAGAAAAGATCTTGAGTTGAGCATTGCAGAGAACGCTTACTGCAAGCCGAAAGGAGACCCTGATACATTTGGAAAGTCTCCCAGAAGGATCTTAACCGTAGCTGTTACTAAGATTAAAAAGCGGGTGTAACGTCAAAGTCTTTAGGGTCACGGGATGTTTTCATGCCAATCTAGCAGCCAAAATGCAATCTAACCCTAAACATCTTTTCAGATTCATGGCCAGGCGAAAGCCAACAAACCGACGGATCGGTACTCTTAAGGAATCAAGTGGCGAAAATCTTACTGACTTAGAGATGGCAGGTAATTTTAATAGTAATAATATATTTCTGCAAGAGCAGGTACACTCCATTTTTACATGCATGATCTACAAATTACAAAATTCATTGGCTCACAGTATGATCCCCAAGTAGGGTCGTTAAAAAAAATATAATCAATAGAAGAGAACAACATTTCATTCATGCAGATGTCTTGAAGCGGTTATGATTAGGTTTATGTTTTAGTATTACACTGAGTACAGTCTTCAAAATATTTTCCTAAGTGGCGTCGCGTCCACATTACACACCAGATCCATACTCGCCATAATTGTGCTAGAATTCTGGTCGAGCAAAGTATTCATGCAATACAACCTTTTAAGTTTATATTTTTTATGAAGCAGACTTGTAGAGCTCTCGTTATGAACTGTGACTTTGGGAAAACGCTCACGTCGAGTTTGTTCCAGAGGTCGTAGCTGTGCCCTCATGCCGAGATCCTGAAAAAATGAGAAACAGAGGAGCAGCAAGGCACTTGGATAAGACCTCTAAACAATGCCTAACATTTTATAGTGGAACAGACGGAGGTATGATAAATTAGGTACTCTCACTCTAAACTTCAAACGTGGAGATACGAAATCCACTCTGTTAAAGACCTGTCTCATTACTCCCAATGCTCTCAAATGTAATGGGAGGACTGATGAACAAACAAATTAGAGAATGTGTGGATAAAATATCTGGTGGTTGATAAAAAACACAAGGGATTAACTTGGGCTTCAAGAGAATTTCAAAGAAATAAAGGAATGAGCAATACACAATAGGTTAGAACGTGACATGTCGAAAAGTCATTTTACTAACACTCTGCCTCATTTGATACAAACCATTAACTTTCTCCATGGAGATCCGCACTCATTATTGCCTTAAAGCATGAGTTCAGGTTTGAACCGCGGAGGACTTAAACACCAGCACAAGTTACAGAGAAGATGCAGCCAAAGCGAACGCAATCTTTTCATTTACGTGATGACAACTTGGCACAATCACCTCGAAGTTGTTCCCAGCACTGTTTGAAAAATGTGCATGGCACCACCTTGAAATCCACAACGTTCTCACGTCACCTTTTGAAAAACCACACAAGTCTCTCAGAAAAAGTACGAATACGAGCAGCCGATTTGATGCTAAGCCCTAATATTTGGGGCTGTCCCTGATGAGCAACCGGAGCATAAATGGTGATCCAATAATGGCATACAACATATCGGGTTCTCTAAATCACTCCAATTCAAGCATAGTACTAGCTGCGTGCAAGCCGTTCATTGTATCCCCTGGCTCACCTCAGATGTGGAGGTCTTCATAATTCAGTCAACCATCAGAAGAAAGATGAAGGGGTGTGAGTAAGCAGTCTTTTCCGATACCAGTCTCCATATGAAATTCATCTATCAGCTGTCCTTTATGCACGACTTTGCAGTAAATTCCCTCGCATGAATTCCGGATGGTGGTGACGATCTTCTCAATATACCATAGTGTCGAGGAAGTTTCCATAATGTTCTCCTGTCCATGCTGTCAAACACTTCCTCATAATCAAGGAAGTTGATATATAGTGACGAGTTTCATCCAAATGATTGTTCAACGATGATCCATAGTGTCTCGATTTGGTATGTGCACAACCAATCCTTACAGAACTCAGCTTGTTGATCTCAAGGCTGGGCGTCTACTGAATCTTTTATCTATTTCAACAACGCTCCTGTGAAAGCCTTTTCTGACACTGATAGTACGGTGATGTCTCTGTTGTTCCTACATTTGCTCAGATCTCCTTTCTTTGGTACCTTGACGAGATATCACTTTTTCTAGTCTGTCGTCACATGTTCTTCCTCTCACATTTTTTGAATAGCACGTGAAGTGGTAAGAATTAAAAAAAACAGAAGGCCGTATGCCAATTCGTTATGATTTTATGTCCGGCTTTATATCACGTGAATTACCCACCAATCGAAATACGACTTTTCTAATCTTAACACTGTGTCAAATCAATGACGTTCGACCAGTATGAGTAGTCTAGCGTCCTTATTGGTCCCTTGTCCAGAACACCGATTGCAGCTTCTGCTATGCGAATCATTTATTTCAAGCACACTCGGTTTATATACCAGACAGACAGACTGCAGTACACCATAAAATAGGAAATAATATTTGTACAAGATCAAGCCAAATGTGGCTGTGAACGTGGGATACAATAATCAATAAACTGATATAATTTAGGAACAGTAAATCGTGTAATAATAATAATTTATAGGTCAAAATGAAGCTTATAATAAGATGAATATATATATATATATAATCATTCAATAGTTAAACAATAAGAATATATATAGAATAATCGTCCATTAATATGTTCCGGAAGTTACCCGTACTTATTTCTTCACTAGCATATAACATGGAGAGTGTCTGCAGTTGCTTCTTTGTCTGATTTCAGTGCCTCAGCTGGTATATTGTCAGGCCCTGCTGCCTTTGCACTCTTGATTTGTCTGATAGTTATACCGATTTCTCTGACTGTTGGTGGAGTGACATCTAGATGAAGGTATGAGTGTATGTCTTCGATGTCCGATGTGCCTAGTGTGACTGGTCTATTCAAGAGTTCTTTAAAATGCTCTACTCACCTATTCCTCTCCTCTTGAGGCACAGTGATTGGCTTTCCTTCCTTGTTTTTGACTGGTCACTCTGGTTTACTATATTTCCTTGCTAGTTTCTCCGTCGTGTCACATATTTCCTTCTCTTGAGACTTTTTCCACTGCCACTGCTAACCGACCACCCACAGAAATTATAATCCGGAGAGTGGGTAGTCGGGTGATGAAGATTCTTAATTGAATGACCAGTCAGTGAACAACACATATGCTGATGAATAAATTATAAAGAATCAGGTGATTCCAATTTTAATTCTGATTGTTTTCTAACTAAGGTGAATTCTGTGGATTATTCCGAACTTCAGGTCGATATTTCCATTTTTAATTCTGGTGATTTTCCTGTTAATAATAACTCTTAGGCAACTATGAATTAAAAACACAAGGTTCAGAGAAGGGATCTCTTTTCAAAGAATTTATTATCCAAATGTACAATCGTATATATATATATATATATATATATGTATATATATATATATAATGATTTTTTTGAAGTACTAGTTCCGTGAGGAAATGTGAACAAAGAATAACCAAGATGAAGTAATAGAAAGATTATGATAGTAGATTACGTAATACAAATAATAACAATAGACTTAATAAGTTCGTGAGGAATTATAACGTGAATGTAGTAAGGTGATTAAAATATTTTGGCCACAATAACTAAAGGTCATAGAGGTTTTTAAAAAATGAAGTAATGCCATCATCAATTATGAATAAAATAATGAGAATATGAGATATAAGTAAAGGGGGGAATGCAGTAATAATAGTATTAAGGCTAAGGTAGAGATAACTATAGGACGTACTTCTTCTGTACGCATAGCTGGATAAGAAGAGATCTGTTCGGATTTGGACGAATCGTTTATACAACCTTAAAATCAAAATGTGGATCATTAAAATGATTACATTTAATGAGATATTCAAGTCCAGAACTCTTAACTGCATTCTCATCCTTGTAGAACCACACTAGGATGTATTCCCGTATCCGAGTTGAAAGTGTGAGTTGGCTATGGCCAATATACCTTGCTCCACAAGAGCAGGTGAACTAGTAGATGCACATTCTCATATATTTATATATGTACGATTGTACAGCTTGATGTTAAATTCGTTGAAAAGAGACCCCTTCGCTGAACTTTGTGTTTTCAGTGTTTATATGGGAATTATTTGTCAATTATGAATTTCATACAGATAAAAAAACGAAAGTCAGTGTGTTGAACAGTTGAGATCTGACAGAATTCCGAGAAGCTAAAGCTACATCACAGACACATATATCAACAATCAGCGTGTAGTGGGTGTAGTAAAGAAACTAATGCATGTACTTTCAGTCAAATATGTTTTAATCTGTTATAATAATGCAAGACAATTTTATACTTCGTGCTTCAAATTTCAGTCCTTGTTTGTGCTTTGTTGAAGCGTTTAACTTACTGAGACAAACAGTATTTCGTTAGATTATTCCAAATTCACAGATCCCTATACCACCAACAGCTAAAAGTGTACTTGCCACTACATAACGGGATTTGATTTTAGGTCTGTTGGATCAGTGAAACGTCACTGAGCGATGGAGACACCATACGTCGGGCTGAACAACTCTTTCGGTAGACGACGGATCACTGTTTCTCAGACAGGTTTTTACCTCGTATGATACAAGAGAATGAAATTACACTTCAGACTGTTTCAGTATTATTTCAAAAAGTCCCTATAGGTCCAACTCGAAGAAAGAACTTATTTGCTGGATTGTGCTCGTTCTTGTGTTTCAAATACTTGTGAAGATACGACCACTATTGTAGTTTGACAACTGTTAACCAGTAACACCTATATTCGAATCGTCCAATACGCTTGATACAGTGTAAAAGAGACTGAAAAAATGGGTTTTTTTTGTCTGTCATTTAAAAAATATACGCTTATTAGTAAAAAAATTTTTGGATAAATATCTAAAAATGAGCATATTAAAATTTTTATAATATATAACGCAAAGGAAAATCGGGATAAAGCTTGTGTCATACGTGCAATAGTCGTTTTAATGTTTTGCAAATCTTACTCATCTTCCAGGACGCGTTGCCATAAGTTTGTTTTCAGACGTTGATGGAGTATCAACGTGCATGTCGGCTGTCGAATGGGTCACTACAAGTGTAGGAGCCGTGTCGTTCGATTGTACCGAAGGAAAATCAACGTAGATAGGATTTATTTCTAAATACGCTGCTTTGAGGCTATCAATACTGATGCTATCGTTCGTGCAGTTCTTTTAGAATATTATTACTTAGATTCAGGCTGAAAAACCTTGAAGGGTCCTTCGTATGCTGATTCGAGGGGTCGTCGATGTGAATCTTGACGAATGAAGACATGTGTGCTATGTTGTAAGTCAGGTTGAACGAAAATATCAGTTGATTGCGGTCGAGTGTAAGCAGGTGTAACTGAACGTACTGCGTTTGTAAGCCTGCTCGTGCAGGAGTTTAGATCCGTGTTCATTGAATACACGAAGGATCCACGAGTTTTCCTGCAAGTTGGAGTGTTGTTCCATAAACGAGTTCAGCTGCAGCGTATCCAATGTCAGCCTTCACTGCATTGCGGATACCTGGTAAGACGAGTGGAAGAGCGTCTGTCCACTGTGGAACGTTTGTAGCTGATAGTGAAGCTTTTAGTTGTCGATGAAAACGTTCTACCAACCCGTTTGCTTGTGGGTGGTAGGCGGTCGTTCGGAAGCGCGTGATACCTAATAGTGAGGTCAGACAACGGAAAAGTCCAGATTCGAACTGGCGTCCGCGGTCTGTAGTGATGGTTGAAGGGCAGCCGAAATTTGCTGCCCATAGAGTGAAATGGTCTATGCAGGTTAAGAGATATGAGTATCTATTTGAACATGGTGAGGGTCCTACTAAATCCAGATGAACATGGTCGAAACGAGCATCGAGAGTTTGGAAAGAGACTAGGGAACATTTGTTGTGTCTAATGTATTTGGATTTTTGACAGCTTACACAGGAACGTGTCTGATTGCTGAGTCGGATGCGTCTACGGCGATACTAATGGGCGCTTGAGTGTCTTGATGAGCAAGCAGGGTTGCCTTAGCGATATATTCCTTAACTGTGGAGAATGCTTTTCGCGCGATGTCGTCTAGATTAATTGATTTCGCATTCCCACGAAGTTGGTCGGTCAGCGGTTTCATGAGGTTTGCGCATTTCGGTATGGACCGCTTACAGAAACTTACGAGACCGCTAAACGTGCGCAATTGTTTGATGATGGTCAGTTCTGGTTAATCCAGAATGGCCGCCACTTTGCTTCTAAGGGGTTGGATGCCTTGAGCATCAATAGTGTGTCCTAAGAAGTCGTAGGGGTTGGTTCCGATTTGGCATTTCTGAAAGTTTACAGTAATGCCACACCTTTGAAGTCGTTCGAAAACAATGTCCATATGCTGGAGATGGGATTTTCTGTCCGGACTTGCTATCAGAAAGTCGTCAACGTACGCATGTACGAAGTTGAGACCTCAAAAAACGTCATCTATGAACCTTTGGGTGGTTTGAGCAGCATTTCTTAGCCCGAAATGCATTCGGAAAAATTCATAGAGTCCGAAGGGAGTCATGATAGCAGTTTTTGGAATATCATCATCAGCCATAGGGATTTGGTTACAAACTTTAACGAAGTCGGGTTTCGAAAAGACAGTTGTACCTTTCAAGGTAGCTGTCAAATCGTGAATGTGAGGCAACGGGTAACGATCGAGAATTGTTTTAGCATTCGGACGCCGATAATCACCAGTTGGTCGCTAATCGTTGCTGTCCTTTTTAGGGACCATGTGCAAAGGAGATGACCATGGGCTATTTGACGGTCGAATGATTCCTAAGTCTACCATGTGATCTAATTCGTTTTTAGCCAACCTCAGCTTTTCGTGAGCCAGTCGGCATGCTTTCGAGAATGCAATCTAAAGTTTTACGCTAATTGAGATAAAAATGCCTCTCGACTAAGCCTTGGATTGGTAACGTCAAACGCTATTTCTGGCCAGTTTGATGACGAAGAATTCAATTCAATCTTTAGAAGCTTTATTCGACTCCATTTAAAGTATGGAAATATAGTGTTTCCTACATCCCTTCAAAGAGATACAATACACTGAAACATATACAAAGGCGAGTCGCGAAATAAATTGAGGGAATCAAGGTCAAACCTTATGAAGAGCGCCTCAAGTCAGTGAAAGTTTATCCATCAGAATAAAGGCGTGTGAGAGGTGACCTTCTAATGACTTTTAGAACCCCAAACACTTCTTGACATTCTTTTAAAAACTCACCTAGGCTCATTTTCTTCACAAACCCTAGGGTAACGCCCAGAAATCAGAGGCGAGACATGGCAGGATGGACTGCTGGCACACCTTTTACCTTTCGAAATTTATCAAACTCTAAAATTCTCTGCCGTCTGAGGTGGTCCAAGCGACTTCTCACGCGTCTTTCAAGAAAAAACTTGATATATTCTTACAGACGAAGGACAATATCTCATTATAATTTACTTTTTCTTTTTATCATCAAATATATTAAGCACAGATTTCTGCCAAATGAAAGCTTTTTTTATTCCGTCTAGAATCATATGAACAATCTGACCATTTGTACCATTTGATTCGCTAAGAAAGGCGGGCAACTTGGTTTTTCCCAAACCTGACACAAGATGGTCAGTTTATAATCCCTTCGAGGGTTTCTTTTCTTTAAAACAAATTACACAGTACTGATTTTCGGTTTTGTTTTAGAATTCTGGAGTAAAATGTCACTCATCTTGCCCTATTGCTTTCCATGATTTGAAAATGAACAAAAAGCATCGTTATGTTTTGTTTCACATCAACGATGGAGGAGAAGTCAGCATTCTGAAAAAAGCTGAGAGAGGTTGGTATTAAGGTATAACGTTTCTTCACCGGTACCACTAGAGGCAACGTACCAAAATTTCAGAGAAGATATGATTGAAGCAATGGAGTTGAAAGACGGTCGGTACGTTGTATATGACTATGAATACCCCAATAAATGTACAGACTTGTTTTTTATAATGTGGTACGTTATTTATTTGTGTCTATATTAGTTTAGGACCCCGAAAAACTTAAGCACCAAAAAGAATATGGTGTATGCAGCCTCAAAGTGTGCCGTAAAGTCTCAGTTCCAAGGAATCAAACATTTCTTGGAGGCACATGACCTAGAAGATATCAGTGAAGAGCGTTTTAATGAGGTGGGGAAGCAGAATAGATTGAGTTGAGTTATTGGAACTTTAATGTGGATCATTTGTACGGATTACACTCTCTAACTGGATTTCACTTGTTTTTTTCTAATTAATGCAACTCATCCCATGTATTTGATTTTCAGCTTCGGTTCAAACTTTGTATTTTCATAGTCTCTGACCAGACTGTTCTGTGGAAGATCTATTGAGTGTTTCATCTTCAGTCACTTGTCAATAAAACTTTGAAAGGTGTGTTTTTTATAACGATTTGCTTAACCAAATCTTGTAGACTGGTTTTTTAAACATTCAGTTGAGTCCTTTATTCGATAGTTTTCTAGTTAGTCCGGTCTATTATACCTCAATTTTTTAGTTTAGGTTATGATAATTTTAAGATTAGCTGGGCTTATGTGTACTGACACAGCGAGCATCAATATAGCTGAAGGTACCACTATATAACGTTATACATGTGTACGAGCGACCCCAAGGTTACGGCTCATGTTTTCATCTCCCCACTTTATTAGATAGCTATCACCTCGCCACGACAAATTAAGAAGCCTATCGCGTTTCAAACTGTTGAGCCTTTGCAATCGCTTATCTTCTCTATTTCTTAGTGTTGTACTAACGTTGTACTTGACTTAATTATATATGTTGTTTACTTCATTGTTACCACTTATAAACACTCAGGATTTGCTTCAAAGTGATCTGGGCTAATAACTTTGTGGCTGGAAGGACATGTCACTTGTGAGTCGGTCGTCATTAACCCAGGACATCGTATATACATGCATCAGTCTTAATTACTACAATGAATATCACAACAAGAATAAAAAAAGCATGGTATATGTACTAATGTTGAAATTGATGGAAATCGAAGAATGGGAAATAGATTGCAAGGAAAAAATAAGGTCGAAGAATGAACAATTAGGAATTATACATAAAACTTGAAGGGCGATAGGAAGTAAAATAAACTGTGGAGGGATTCCGTTTGTTTTAAGTTACTGTTTGTGTACCTCTAACTTTTTAGAACAAATATGTTCTTAGATGTAGTAAATCCTGACGTCATACATTTCAGTTTATTGACTTGTCGAATTCGAATAATACACTTCATTTCATGAATTCAATTACATTTTCTTTGTAATCTTGATTAGGAAGTTACATCAGTTGTACAAATTTGTGTGCTCTTCTAGACAGTTTTCAAATATATAATTTGAACAACAATGAAACTTTATCAAGATTAATCAATCGGTAAAAATAATGTACAACTTGATGTAAAGAGTCATTAGCACGAATGTCTATATCGTTTGTCCTTGTAACTTGTTTGTTTTCTACTCGTCTAGTGAAGTGTGAAATAAACAAGTCGTTTCGGCCCGGAATTCGTATGCATATTTGTTAGTTAACTTTGCTGATCATCTACATAAACTTAAATATGTAAGTCAATCAATTAGTCTGTCTGCTGCAGTTAACTTCCACAACCGGTATTTTCACTTGAGCTGTTATCAAACAAGAGTATGCTCGAAATTTAGTGGTAGATTCATACTGAAAGTATTCAATCTTGAACCACTAGGTAATAGGTTCGAAACTCACTCCACTGCCGTTCGGTCACCTGGATGTTATCATTAGTTCTTATGGACAGTGTGGCTCAAACTCGAATAAGGAGACCTATACTGAGTTGGGCCAAATAGCGTCAAATGATATATGTAGTCCATCGTTGTTATGCGTTTGCTACAAGGTCGCCGCAGTATATCACTAACATGTTTAATTTTCCTAAAGATATATGACTGAAATGTTGAAAAACCACATGCGTTTCTTCAGCTCATCTCCACAATGGAAGAAATAACAGTGAACTTACAAATAAATGCATCCTTCATGAAAAAATGACCACTCTGTTCGACTGAACAATCAATCGCTACATGGCAGTTGTCAGTGCTGTGCGCAGGTTTGTCGACAGTATATACCCTTCAACAGGTTCTGGAACGTAGAAGTACGTAGATATTTGTTGAAATAGTATTGGAAACGTATCTTACTCTGTCTATCAAAAGGGGTCTTGGTGCACTCAGTAACTGGATAAAACACTGGGATGTTTATCATTCTACTAGAGATCCTCTTTTGGAGCACTGCTGTAATTAGAGCTTATTGAAAGCTGTCATCGTCGTTGGCTTCGTTAACTAGTGGGTGTAAGAGCTCTTTTACTTTCCCTGCTTGTTTCTTTTGTTATAGACATATTTCTAGCAACTTTATTCGTGGAATTTCAGGGACTCAACCTCTGCCAAGAGACCCATTTATTGACTTCCAGTGTAAGGATTGTTCTGCTTACTGAAAATACTAATAGCAGTCTTCTGAGTGGTCTGTACAATAACTCAGGGATGTTTCTTTAACTTCAGATGCAAAGTGAATTTTCGAGACTGGTGCAATCCAGTGCCTGTTGTAAGCATAGGTAGTAAAGTGGTCGAACTTGTTAACTACCTATTTTTCTTGTTGATTTTTTCAACCCTGTCGTGTTTGCAGCTGGTGACACAAAAGGATCACCTGTTTCTTCCCAACAATGCACAGGCATGAACTTTGTCAAATAGCATTTTTTCATATATCACTTTACTACTGTTCTACATGACCTATTAATGTGAAAACACGTAGGTTTGTCGGTAACACACAATCACAGATGTCCTAAAAAGTACTCTTTGTGTGATGAAACCGCAGCGTAAGTATTATGATATTGAGCGTAGAGTATTAGGTAATGATAACTGGTGTGACTGTCGGCCTTTATCAAGTGAATTTCTCGGGAAAGATACTGCACATATTTAACCAATGCATCTCACTATCTGGATTGTAAAGTACGATTATCGTTATTTGTTTAGATACGTCAATTTTGGTACAATTAGGCACCGAAATAAATGTGCATGCATCACACAGTGCGAGACAGAGGACGGAAGGAAGGAAGATACGTATAATGGGAAAGAATTGATTATTGAATACAAGTGAATGAGAGTTGTGAGCGGTCGGAGAGACAGTTCAGCCAGCAGGAATACAACCAGAATAGATTATTTCAGTTAGGGATGTTCTCGCTTTTATGAGGAAAGTAAACCGGATTACAACAGGATTGCTACTGACTTCAACTCTAACCCGTGTACAATAACATCTCAAGCCAGTGTTGCAGTTTTCGATGGTGGTCTAGCTTCAATTGACTCATGATTTCAGCTTTGAAAAATACTGAAATCTCCACAAATCCCGTTCTATTTATTTTTGGTTCGAAAAAATTAGTAGCTCTAGTTTTGTTGTATGACATAGATAATTCCCTTTTTTTAAATTTCAAATTAAGTAAACATTGGCTAGAATTTTAATAGTAATATAATGATGTATTTATAATATTTCAATGAAAAGAAATTCAAAATGGTGACGTTATGTGACTTAGTGTAATCGAATTTTTTTGGAGTAAATAACTAACCGAATCAAATTAACAAAGTTTGGATGGTATAAAGGAATAAGGAAGAATATTGAGTTCAATCAAAATCAACTGAACGTTTTAGAACAGATCATGAAGATTGTGTACTCATAGCGAACTGGATAATAAAAGCACCAGTGACACTGGCTGCAATCAGGTACTGCAATATATACGGATGATTGGAGAGAGTATAGATGTTTACACAGACTTGGTTATATGCATCATGTCGTTATCCACAAACGGCATATTGTTAACCGAACAAGTGCAGTGCTCAAAAACAATATTGAAGCTCTGTGATCGAGGCTGAAAGAGTTCTTGCGACCTTATCGTGGATCCAGAGGCCTACTATTGTGGAGCCAATATAGATGATTTCCTCTACTGTATGCATCGCGATTCCATCATAAGGCTTTTGACATGTTGCCTTGGCCGTCAAAAGTTGGTTTCATGAGTGCCGTAATCTTTACATGTAAGGTACAAACATACAACCATCCCCAGAAACTATTCAAGCGTCGTAACATCTGTATGTCTGGGTATAGTTTTTATGACATTTTTCTGTCTGAATTTGGTCAATGACCATTCTTATCAAATATGTATCTATAGTATATTACAAATTCTTCGAAGAACTAACAAATTTGTTTTTGTAGCTGGAAACCAGCTTAAGATATTTTTGTAACCACAAGGTGCAGGTGACTCATTAGTTTCTGAGCAATGGAACTAACAGCTATAATATCATCCAGATGAACTGCTTTATCTATCAGGTTGGATATCATAATATCCAGTATATTCTGGAGAATCTTGTGCACTTCCTTTTTTCTGAAAGGTAATCGGTTACATTAATAGAGTACACTGTGAGTATTAATAGTTGGAAACTCCATTTAATCTTAGTCAAATTTACCTGTGGACTCATATGGAGCTTCACATCTTGTCGTTAGCAAACTTTTGTCCTCACAATTGTGCAAAATCCAAGTTTGTTCTGTAATAAATTTATACGTTTCTGGGAAAATTTGCTATTTTTATTTTAGTTACATGGATAATAGGCAGGTCCCTAAGACTCCTTCAGTTTGTCACAGTGCATATTTCGCTCACTGGTACATCCGATTGGATAAAATGTCTCGCAGCATTTTTAGGACTCCTTTGGGCTTTTTATGAAGAGATCTTCGGGATCTCCTGAACTATTCTGATTTTGATGTTGGCTGTCAGTTATTTTAAGTTTCATACGCTCTTCACTTGTAAGAAGACTGTCGTTACCTTGCCAAAACTTCCTCTTTCATTTGAATAAGATCCTCCTTCTTTATCGTTGATGCTATCCAGGTACGCAAAACTTTCCACCTCCCCCAGAGCTTCTCCATTAAGTACGACTGGGTTGGTGTTTTTCAGGTGTATCCTAGGACCTCACTTTCTCCCCTCTGTATGTTGAGGCCTACTGATGCAGAGGATTCTACTACGATGGCTGTCTTCACCTTCATTTTCTCATGTGTGTGGGATAGAAGTGCCAGGTCACCTATAAATTCCAAATCGTCTAGCTGCATGCAAGCCGTTCATTGTATCCCCTGGCTCACCTCAGATGTGGAGGTCTTCATAATTCAGTCAACCATCAGAAGAAAGATGAAGGGGTGTGAGTAAGCAGTCTTTTCCGATACCAGTCTCCATATGAAATTCATCTATCAGCTGTCCTTTATGCACGACTTTGCAGTAAATTCCCTCGCATGAATTCCGGATGGTGGTGACGATCTTCTCAATATACCATAGTGTCGAGGAAGTTTCCATAATGTTCTCCTGTCCATGCTGTCAAACACTTCCTCATAATCAAGGAAGTTGATATATAGTGACGAGTTTCATCCAAATGATTGTTCAACGATGATCCATAGTGTCTCGATTTGGTATGTGCACAACCAATCCTTACAGAACTCAGCTTGTTGATCTCAAGGCTGGGCGTCTACTGAATCTTTTATCTATTTCAACAACGCTCCTGTGAAAGCCTTTTCTGACACTGATAGTACGGTGATGTCTCTGTTGTTCCTACATTTGCTCAGATCTCCTTTCTTTGGTACCTTGACGAGATATCACTTTTTCTAGTCTGTCGTCACATGTTCTTCCTCTCACATTTTTTGAATAGCACGTGAAGTGGTAAGAATTAAAAAAAACAGAAGGCCGTATGCCAATTCGTTATGATTTTATGTCCGGCTTTATATCACGTGAATTACCCACCAATCGAAATACGACTTTTCTAATCTTAACACTGTGTCAAATCAATGACGTTCGACCAGTATGAGTAGTCTAGCGTCCTTATTGGTCCCTTGTCCAGAACACCGATTGCAGCTTCTGCTATGCGAATCATTTATTTCAAGCACACTCGGTTTATATACCAGACAGACAGACTGCAGTACACCATAAAATAGGAAATAATATTTGTACAAGATCAAGCCAAATGTGGCTGTGAACGTGGGATACAATAATCAATAAACTGATATAATTTAGGAACAGTAAATCGTGTAATAATAATAATTTATAGGTCAAAATGAAGCTTATAATAAGATGAATATATATATATATATAATCATTCAATAGTTAAACAATAAGAATATATATAGAATAATCGTCCATTAATATGTTCCGGAAGTTACCCGTACTTATTTCTTCACTAGCATATAACATGGAGAGTGTCTGCAGTTGCTTCTTTGTCTGATTTCAGTGCCTCAGCTGGTATATTGTCAGGCCCTGCTGCCTTTGCACTCTTGATTTGTCTGATAGTTATACCGATTTCTCTGACTGTTGGTGGAGTGACATCTAGATGAAGGTATGAGTGTATGTCTTCGATGTCCGATGTGCCTAGTGTGACTGGTCTATTCAAGAGTTCTTTAAAATGCTCTACTCACCTATTCCTCTCCTCTTGAGGCACAGTGATTGGCTTTCCTTCCTTGTTTTTGACTGGTCACTCTGGTTTACTATATTTCCTTGCTAGTTTCTCCGTCGTGTCACATATTTCCTTCTC